TTTTCCCGTTGATGCTCGTTGCAGGTACCAGTTTCCATGTTTCTCGGTCTTGCAGAGCTTTTAACTCCTTTTCCATTGCTTCCTTCCATCTTGCCTTATGTTCCCCCCCCAGAGCCTGCGACAACGTTGAAGGCTCTCGCGGAGAAGGCGGCGGCGGATTCTGGACGGAGACCCAGAGGCCTAGAATCTGGAGTCCCGTGGGCGTGTGTCGAGGGGAATTTTCATTCCCGGAATAAGCTGCTTCGTCACCGTCTTCGGGGTCAGGTAAGAAATTGGGGCCGATGCGTTCCGAAATATTCGTGTCGACGGGGTGAGGTGTAGCGTAACCTTGGTCGGCGAAGTGGTAAAAGGTGTCGAGGTTGTTGCTATCGAGGGGATTATCTTCATCGAGTGGAACAGGTACGGAACAGAATGGGAGTGGTCCGGCAGCTTCCGAGGCTCCAGGTACGTCTTCTTCTGCTGCGTCAGCCTCGGCAGTATGGTCAGCGAAGGAGCGAAGGCCCGCGAAGCCGTCGGTGGGGTCTTGTGTGTTGGCAAGGTTGTCCAGGTAATGCTGCAGCGTCAGTCGTTCGTAGAAGATAACATCTCGTGATGCCACCGTGTTTTTGTCTTGTATGTCGAGAATTTTCCACGCGTGAAAATGTTTTGCGATGCCGAGGTGTAGTCCCCATCGAGCTCTTTGTGAGAAGCGTCCTGCTCGGGCTGTGTGGGGTCTGTACTGTACCATGCAGCCGAAAACGCGGAGTAATTTTGTGCTGCCCCTTTTTCTTGTCCACAACAGGTGCGGTGATGCGTTGTTGGGAAGTGATGACGAGGACAGCAGGTTGTGCAGGTGAACAGCATGTGTCATCGCGTCTGGCCACAGTGCGTTGGGCAGCCTCATCCCCAGAAGCAGTTTTCGCATCGTCGTCTGCAAGGTCCGGTTCATGCGTTCTGCTACCCCCTGCTGCTGGTGAGCATAGGGCAGAGACACCAGGCGTCGGATTCCCCTTTCCGCGAGATAGGTCCTGAAGCGTTGTGACTGGTATTCCAGCGCACCATCTGACTGGAAGCTCTTGAGTTTTGTTCCTGATTCTCGTTCGGCGATGGGAAGCCATGTTGTGAAGGCTTCGAAGGCTTGATCGCGTGTCTTGAGATTGAAGTGCCAGACATATCTGGTTGCGGCGTCGATGAACGTGATGACGTAGTTGAAGTCGGCTTCGGTATCGTCTCGAGGCATGTTTAAGATATCGCTGTAGACCCTTTCCATCGGAGCGTAAGTGGGTGCGCTTGGATTGTGATGGGCTGGGAAAGGTTGATGAGGAAGATCTGCTTCGGGGCATGTGAAGCACCGTGCGCGTGGTCGTCGGAGTTCCTGGCCGCTCGTCGTCAGAAGGGCGTTGCGTTCTAACACCTCTGCTTGGATTGTTTGAAGTATCGTGCTGTTTGCAGGATGTCCGAGACGTTGGTGCCAGATGTCGTCGGGAGCGCGGTGGCCGGGCGAGCGGTGGTAGATGTCGGCGTTGGAGAAGAACGCGACGACCGAGGCGGGACTTCGACAAGCTTCTCGTGTGACGGGCATAAGTTGGTCTGCTCCGGTTGGCGGTCCTCGTGTCGCTGGTGGTGGTACTCGGCTGGGTCCTGCTGCCGATACTGCAGGTGATGGTTTTGTTGGGACGCTTGCGGGTACTTGTCTTTCTTGTTTGATGACTGCTAATGCTCGTGTTCTCTCTGCTGCAGGTATGGTGTTGGAGTGCCAGAAGCCATCACTGTCGAAGTCGGGATCAAGATCCGGCGGGTGAGTCCAGGCGGCGAATGATACGATGCCATCGCTGTCGGCAGTTCCGCGGTCGGGGACGAAGTCCAACACGAAGACGCCGGACTTCAGGAGGGCACGACCGATGAAGAGGCCGCCCTTCCCGTGGTAAAGCCGGAACTCGTTGGAGTAAGAGTCGCACTCCAGGTGAATCCCCTTGGCCATTAGTTGGCTTACGCTTAGTAGGTTGTATCCCAGATTGTCGACAATGAGCACCTTGTTGAGTTGAAGTATGACATTCGTCTCCATGGATTGTAACTGAACCACGCCCTGTCTGTTTGTCTTCAGGTTTTCATTGTTGGCGACGGTGATGACGACGTCGCGGTTGAGTCGTTTCTCCTGTTGCACGAAGCGTCCCGAGGAGCACATGTGTTGACCGCAGCAGCTGTCCAAGAACCAGGTGTTTCGCCCGGTGGGTTCGGCGTTGGCGACTGCAGCGTATGTCGGGTTGACCTGAAGTCCTTGTGAGCGCGGCGGCGGGAATTCCTCTTCGTCTGGTCCGTAGGTGGGTGGTGAACCGGGTGCGCAGTTGTCGATGTGTACCATGCAGTTGATGATGTTGGGTGTTTGTTGTGTAGATGTTGAAGAGCGCCTTGGAGGACTTGCTTGAGTGGAAGCGACTTGTGGGTCTGCTGCACGGTAAACGCGAGGGCGGTTGCAGTTGACTTTGGAGTGCCCGGAAGTCTGGCAGTTGTGGCAGAACGGCGGCACGATGGTGAGTCCTCGGTTGTCACGTTGATCTTGCTTGCTGCGTCGGTTGTAGTTGTTGTCGTTTCTTCGTTGAGTGTAAAAGACTAACTGCTGTTGCTTCCTTGGTTGTCTTTCTTCGAACAGATCCATCTCCTGTTGTTCAGCGTGAAGCTCGGCGCAGAGGTGCATCTCCGAGATCCTTCCGTGGGCGCGAAGAAGCGATCGTGTGGTTCTCCATTCTGGTCCGAGCCCGGCGAGGACAAGTGTCACGAAGCTTTCTTCAGTGATCGTTCCTCCGCACCGAAGCAGGCGGTCGCGGAGAGTCTGACAGCGACTCATATACTGCATCGCCTTTTCCCCGGTCTTCATCTGTATTGTTGTCAGCTGTTGCATGAGTCTGCTTTGTGTCACGCTGTCGTTTGCTTGATAGAGGCATTTGAGATGATGCCATGCGAGTTCCGCGGAGTTTCCATAACTCCGATACGTTCTGATGCTCTGCTGCTCTTGTGGTGACAGGTTTCTCAGGAGTACCGTATACGCCAGCAGCGACTGATACGTGAAGATTTCTTGTTCCTTCCCAGTGCCGTTGCTTGGGAATGGCAGGGACCCGTTGAAGTATCCCAGAAGATGCGCGGCCTCCATCAGCAGCTCGAACTCGAAGCTCCAGGTAAAGAAGTCGTGTCCGTTGAACGGTGATGATGTCTGCAGTTTAATCACGTGTGAAAACTGTGCCTGGAGACTTAAAATCTCGTTTGGTGTTTGTTGTGATGCAGCTGCTGTTGGTTGGGCACGGGGCGGCATGAACTCGAACGTCCCCGGTGAAGAGTGATAAGGCGCAAAGGTAGGCGCTTGATTGTGTCGCCCGAAGGATGAGTTGTCGAGGCTCATCGGCGCTAATCCCATATTCCCTCCATTGCTCTGTGTTGAGTGCGCAGGTGTCCTTGTCTGCTGCTGCTGGTCGAAGTGTGACATGAAGCTGAAGAATCTCTCCATGAGATTCGGGTCCACACTTGAAGAGGGAGACGGGGTCACCATCTCTGGTACTCTTCCCGTTGTTTCTTGAGCAGTCCCGGTCTCTGTCTGCAGTCCTGAGGTGTGCAGACCAGAGTTGCCGTGTTGAGTTTCTTGGGCGCTGGGTGAGCCCGTAGAGACTTTCTTGCCCTTGTTGTCCATATCTTGTAATCAATGGAGTTGTTGAATCAAGTTGAGTTGCTCGTTGTTGATGGAGTGTAGTTGCTGGGAGTTTTGGTCTCTGACCAGCTCTCATACCATGTTGGGCTGAGAAAAGCCCTTAGGATCTTTTGCAGAGACTAAGTCCCAGCTGTAGAGACTTTGAGACTTGAGTAGTGCAGCGGAAGTTGAGGCAGTTGAACCCTTGTACTAGTATGTGAGAACAAGTGATTGATTAAAGAGACAAGCATACAGCAATATATAGAAGATAAGAAAACAGTTGTAGAGTACAGTTGCAGTAGCGGTTTATCGAGTCGCACAGCGACTCGATTGTCGCTTCGGTTACCATCCGCGCTGTTGTAACGGTCAGTCGCAACCTCCAGTTGCGACCCTTTGAGTCCCAGACCCTTCGTGTTCTTTGTCCGCCCCCTCGTGTAACCTCCGTTGACTCGCGTACCCCTTGTAGTCTTCCTCGAGTGTAGTGTTACACTTCAGAAACGCTCAAGTCTTTTGAGGTACTTTCAACAAGTCCTAGAGACAAGTCGCTTAGTTTGCACATTGCAGACTAGAGTGCATGTATTAGTGAGTAAGTCCTTGTGAATGTATACGCAAGTTATCATTGCCTATTAGCCGAACAATAACCACTGTTGCAACGTTCCTATGGAGGGCGGAGTTCACGGCCCGATTGCCTCATTGGTCGTTGGCTACCCGGCAGGTAACTGCCACCTGCCCCTTTTTGGGAATTCCCTGCCACGTCAAGCTTTCCAACGGACGTGGCTAAATGCTGCCGTTTGGCCGCTAAAATCCCAACGCTGCGCGGAGCCATCGGTGGGTTCAGAAATCTCAGGCTGCCAGAGTGGGCTTATCCAGACGGTCGCTGGCAGCCAGTTGAGTTTTGCACGGCAGGTTTCGCCTAATGGTGCTTTCGAAAGGGTTTGGTGCGACGGACAGCGTTCTGATTGGCTGCACGAAAAGAAGGCGGAACGGTGGAGGGTTCGGCCCAACGGACGGCGGGTAATCGGACGGATGGAAGTGCCGGACGGTTGGAAATATCAGCCAGCATCAGGGAGGTGACAGTGAGGGAGGGGAGGGAGGGTGAGTGAGAATGAGTCCAGAGGAACGAGAAAAAAAAAAAAAAAAAAAAAAAAAAAAAAAAACACAGGAGCGAGGCGGTGAGGGTGGTAGTGGTGGTGACTTGTCCTCTGTCCTGCTGCTGTTTGTGGGGTGTGTTGGCCTTGCGTCTGCTTCCGGGGGGATGGGGGGAGAGAGTGAGGGAGTGAGAGAGAGACGGTTGGGCTTGAACCTTGGCAGTTGGGCGACAGTCAAGCTGACGTTAATCGGCAACCTTGTGTGAATGGACGGATAGGCAGGCAAAGCCAGTGCTTGCGACGGGAGCTTGCGACAGGAGAGTAGATAGAGCTTTATGCAACGAGGTGGTTTCTATACTCTCCACAAACGAGTGATTTCTCTCATAGCAATCACACAGTGATTCCCCCAGCTGCTGATTACCGAGCTCGTGCCAACCGGAACTTGAGAATTCCGACTGAGACCCATAAGCTTAGCTGCGCGCTGAGCGGCGAGCAGCTCTACATTCACGTACGCTCGAAATTAGTCGTACAAGCGCGGTGTACGTAGTGCCTTGAGCGTGGTGGGAGCACTGCGCGGAGAACGGATCACCCACGCGAACGGCGGGAGCAGGCATGCTTTGCTGTTGACCGCCGCGCCGCAGACACGCGAAACCATGGCCGCTGTTGAGTCTGCAGCGGCGGCAGCAGCAGCCGCCGGCGGCGCTACTATGGCCGGCAACGGCCCGCTTCCCAGCTCCGCGCAGCCCATGGGGGGAAAGGCGGAAGTGCCGCTGCTCGCGCTGCACCCCGCGGGGCATAATGCAGGCGGAGCCGCCGCGCAGCACTTCACCGGCGCACTTTCCGCGCCGTCCCCCGGCGGCGCTCGGGAACTGGCGGACGGCAACGGGGCTCGCGCGGAGGGGGGTAACTCCCCCGCGGACGGGGACGCGGGGGACGGCCCCGCCAACAGCAGCCCGCAGAGCAGCCCCGCGGGCTCGGGGGGCACCCAGACGCAAGATGGCGGAGGCGGGGACACGGAGGATAAAAAAGGTTCGTCCGCGGTTCGGGAGGAGTGGACGGACGACGCGACGGACGCGGTGTTGGAGGTGTGGGCGCGAAAGCACCTGTCTTTAAGCCGTGGCAAGCTCAAGAAGCACGAGTGGGAGGAGGTAGCGCAGCGCGTTAGCGAGATCCTCGGTAACGGGAACGCCAAGACGTGGCTACAGTGTAAGAATAAGATCGACTCGATTAAAAAGAAGTACAAGTCCGTGCGGTGCCAGCTCGCGGCGGGCGGCTCGGTTAAGCGCGAATGGCGGCTGTACGACCGAGTAGATTACCTCTTAGGCGGCGGCTCCGCGAGCCACGCGACAGGTAGCATGGGCAGACCGCCTCCTATCGGCACGGCGTCTTTATTCTCCCCCGTGGGAGCCACGTCCAGCAATAGCAGAATGCCAGGTGGCGCCTTTGGGGCGGTTTACGGCAACGCCGGGATCAACGGCGGGATGAGCGGCGGCATGGGCGGCGTGATTGGCGGCGGGATGGTGAATAGTATGCCGGGGGTGATGAGCAGCGGCATGGGGAACCTGATGGGCGCCGCGATGGGGAGTAACGGGCTCGTCAACGCCGCGGTTGCCGCCGCGAACGTCGCTCTGGGGACGAACGCCGCTCTAGGATCGTCGCGCGGGTTTCCCGCGGCTATGGGGTCCATCGGGGGTGACAATAACGGGGGTAACGAGCCGAGCGACGACGACGATGACGATGACGATGACGACGACGACGACGATGACGAGGACGGAGACGGAGCGAACGTCGGAACGAGCGGGCACGGCGGCGGCGGCGGCGTGGGGGGGGGTGGCGGCGCCGTCAGCAGCGGGATCAACCCCCCGCTGCTGCAGGAAACGCTGATGAAGCAGCGGCGGTCCTTCAGCCTTCCGCTAGATCCGCGCATGCAGCAGTACATGAGCGGGAAACCCGCCGCTTCCCCCGGCGGGGGCGTGGGACCGGGGGGAATGATAGGAGGAATGTCGATGCCCGCGGGCGGGATGATGGCCGCAATGGGCAGCCCCATGGGCGGAGCGCTCAGCGCGTCCCCGCACCAACACGCCGCGCAAGCTTACGGGATGGCGGCGGGGGGAATCGGCGGGGGCGGAGTCAGCGGCGCAGGCGGAACCCTCGTTCCCGGGGGGAACGCCGTGCCCGGCGGAGCGAACGGCGCGCTGCGGCCGGCAGCGGCGAAGCTGAAGCGGAAGGCGTCGTCCGCGGCGGTGAAGGACCTGGCCTTGGCGGTGCGCGAGTTCGCGTCGGTGTACGAGCGCGTGGAGCGCGCCAAGGTGGACCAGATGGTCGAGATGGAGCGACTGCGCCTCGAGTTCAGCCGCGAAATGGAGGTGCGCCGCATGAAGGTGCAGCTCGAGGTCGCGCGGCTCGCGGGCGGCGGAAGCGGGGGCGGAGGGGGAGGGGGAGGGGGAGGGGGAGCGGGGGGTTGAATGCTGCAGCCGCGGCGGCCGCGTTGGACCTGGCTGGCGGAGCGGATGCGGGGATTTCGGGGATGGTGGGGGCGGGTTCCGCTCTTCCGCCGGGCTCGTTACAATGATATTCGATAAGAGCACTCTGTGAAGTGCCGTCAAGTCAGGTATGCTGAAATGAGACGTATCTTTCTTCCGTTTTTTCTCGAGAACCTCTCACGCATTCCCGTTCCCACCCCTACCCCATTCCCAAGTACGCACAGAGAACTGTTCCATTCATTATAGGCTATAGCGAATGGCCCAGCACAGATGGGGCTCACTGGGTGCACTGGGTGCACTCCCCAAGTAGGGTGACGGCTAGACAGTCAGACGGTCAGACGGTTTAGTAGGGTGACGACCAGACGGTCAAATACTTGGTTCTTCACCTATTACCCTTCCCATGCGCCCTTCTGGGTGCGCTTGAGCTCTTCTGGGTGCGCTTGAGCTCTTCTGGGTGCGCTTGAGCTCTTCTGGGTGCGCTTGAGCTCTTCTGGGTGCGCTTGAGGTGCCATTGAGTCGTTCTCATCTCACGGTGGATGGTGAGAGGACTGTAACGGTGCAGCTGGGTGCTGGCTGCTGGCTGCTGGCTGCTGGCTGCTTGCTGCTGGATGCCATCTCTTTCGTATTTGAGCTTCGGCTCAGACAGAGAGAGATGGCAGTGAGAATCGCAGCCAAAACGAGAGCTGGATTTGGGAACTGCGGCCGCAAACGCTCCCACTGACGGGCTCAGCCACGGCGAATCGCACCCAGAAATGGCTGAGCCTGGCAGTAAGACCTTCTCCGGCTGCAATGCTGTGGCTGAGCCTGTGAACTGCAACCAATTGCAATTCAGGAGGAAGAGCTGTGTGTGTCCATTCCCATGCCTGGGAGCCATTCGGAACCATTGAAGAGCAATGGCATCAGATGGGCATAGTGTGCAGCCATGCCGCTGCGATAGAGAGATAGCCTCGCATTCAGGTGTATGCCACGTGGTGACGTTTGAGTTGAATCAAACTGGTGAGCTCCTCTGTCTGTCTGCTGCGTCTGTACTCGATGCTCTGCTGTTGGCTTCCGATTATCTTCTCGCGAGCCATTGACGTTGGCAAGCTGCTTGTTTCTGGATTTGTTGTAAAGAGCAGAAGGAAAAGAAAAGTCGGGGAAGGGTTTGGAAAACATGCCAGGCTTGATGCAGCAGCTGCTCCTGCTGTCTCGGCTGCTGCTTGCACCCCAATGCTCTTGCCAAGACTGTTTGGTTAAGAATGGAAGAATACTTGTTGTCAGAGATTCTCCCACGTGAGCTGTATAGCGACATGCAGTTACTGATTCTCAGCCCTCACTGCTCTCTGCTCTCTTCTCTATTCTCTCTTCTCTCTGCTCTCTTCTCTCTTCTCCCTCCTCTGCCTCGCCCTCTCTGTCCCGTGCCTCCCATCAGAGGAAACTCCGCTCATCGATCCCTGCTGACAACCAGCCAGCCACATTCTCTCCTCCGCTCACCACCTGCAGCGGGTCTCATCACTGGCTTATGCACGTTCTGATGCCACATACCACCCTCACCCTGACCGCCCCCTCACTGACCTCCTCCCACCCTCTCATCGACCTTGCTGCTCCTCTCATTGATCTCCCTCCCTCACACTCTCTGGGGACCTCCTAAGCTGGCTCTGCAAGCTCACTGATCGCCACTCGTCCTCCTCTCCTCCCCGCATTCATCAGACACCACTTTACTCAACCCCTCAGGTCCCCCCCTGCTTCTTGCCCGTTCCAGCTGTCTCTGCTCACCCCCACTGCTCCCAGCACCCACTGCAGCAGCAACTTGATCATGATCCTCCATTCATCTGTGACCCCAACTCCCCCAAAAGCACCTAGAGGGCTGCCAGCAGCAGCAGCAGCAGCAGCAGCAATTCCATCACCACTGCCATTCCCCTTAGCTAGTGGTTGGAGTGGGCAGGTCTCCAGTTCAGGCAGTAAGCCTTCCATTCCCCCCTCTAACGGCTGTTACCCCTGCAGTCATAACCAGCCAAGTCTCCTACCAACCCCACTAGGAGAAACACCCCCACACCGCGCCTCCGGCCTACTGCTTGTGCAATCCAGTCCCGTGTGTTCTACTCATATCTCAATGTAATGGAGAAGCGGATGACTGGCTCTGCAAGTAGCTTTACTTCCGAAGAGGGGCACGGATGGAGAGGGCTGCGTTGTGGGTTGACCACCTATTTAGGTAGCCCAGCTTTAGAATATTACAACAGTTGTACACTCTTCTGGATGCTTGAAGCCCTTTCTCCTGTATGAGTTTTGGTACCTATCCGCACAGCCGGTCATGTTGAGAATCAACATTTTTTGGGATAGGGGGTGGAGGTTGCAGGATAAGGGGGTGAGGGAGGGTGAGGGTGGGGGCAGAACGTGCAAGGGTTGAGAGTAAGTTTCCTAGCAGCTCTGTATGCAAGCACAAATATTCGCCTCTAGCCACATAACGCGCTGCTGTGTGCTGAGTACGACATTGCTCGGCGCGCAATAGCGCTGGAGGAAACTGTCCAGGCTGTCAGTTCGCCATGGCGCACTGACTCTTATGTAAATGTACACCCGCGTGAAATTGGCCAATGTTGGCGGAGGAATGGCTCAATAGGGGGGGAGTGATGGAAACATTGTTTATGGTGTAATCTGCCCGTACAGCTATCCTGCCTCATCCAGTCATCACTTTGCCCCGCCGCGTCGCTGAAGCGACTTGATGTTTCGTCGCACATCCGTCGCGCTCCGTACCTAGAATTTCGGCATCAAAAGACAACCAGACCAACCGACCAACCAGTACACATCACTTGTTCCCGAACCTCAAACGGGCAAAGAAAAAAGGCCCAACAGCTCTTCTTCCTCCCACAGCCTCCTCCACCGTCGAACGAAGCTGCCCGTGAAAGAGCTCACGAAACGCTGTTCACAACGTTGTTCGTCACAGTGCTCTGCAACACCTCCTCACCCCTGCGACCTTCGTCGTTTGCTGGCTGCTGCCCCCACTCTCAGCCACACTCGAGCTCCCTTTACATGCTGGCTGTTGTCTCGATCTCCTAGTAGCCGGCCTCTTCTTCGTCTCCCCAGGAAACGAGACTTGTGCCTGGACCTCGTGTTGGCCTTAGACAAAAGGGGCTTCCTTTGTTTCTACCAGCGCCGCCGCTATGGCCCGCCGTGCGTCATCGTCGCCGAGGCTCGTCCTCACCCTTGCCGTTCTCCTCTCCGCGTCGCTCTTCGCGGCGAACCTCCCGCGATTCGCGGACGCGGTTCCCGTCTCGTTCGTGCTTCAGCAGATCCGCAACAAGACCAACACGGACCCCGTCACTGCCGACATATCCGCGGGAATGGTGGAGTTCGCCGCGGGGTACGACAAGGTGGACGACATTGCCGGAGGAACCCTCTTCCTGCCGTCTGACGCCGCATGGAAGCCCGCGCTCGACGGTTACAAGACCCGAAACGCCTCTGCGACGACCGCGTCGGACCCGCTTCTCGAGGCGCTCGATACGCTGGTGACTTCCAAGGGGACCCTGGCGGCGCTTAACTCCATGTCGAGCGGCGGCAGGAACGCGCTGTCGCGGCTCGCCAAGTTCTTGGCGGTTCGCGAATACCTCGACAGCGCGAAGCTGAACAGCACCGTGAGTATTTTCCCCCCACCCACGCTCCAGAAGTGAAATCCGACGAGTCGTCGATTCTAAGATTTACACACTCTCCCTCTTCTGACGAGTAAAAAACATCTCTACATTTCTACCCATTTAAAAGTTTACGGCTAAACTCCGTCAACTGAGTGTCCTGTCCATGTTCTAGCTTCGTCCCATCATGCCTAACGACCCGTTCCTCTCCCCTCCTCCTCCCTCTCCCTCCCTTCCCCACCTGCGCACAGTACAAGAGCGGTCGGTTCAGCTTCAGCTCGCTGCTCAACCAGAACATCTGGCTCTACGGCGACTCTGTAACTGGCCTCTGGTACCTCACTGGCACCGACCCCGACCTCCTGCTCAAGCCCCCTACCGGTTCCGCCAAGGTCGCCGTCGCTGCCCCTGCTGCCCCCGCGCCCGCCTCCGCCTCCGCCTCTGCGCCTGCGCCCGCTCCTATGGTGGACACTCCCGTTGACACCGCACTGCCACCGGCGGCGGCACCCGGCTCCGCCCCCGCGCCCGCGGGGACTCCCCGCGCTGGGGGGGCGCTTGTGCCGGGCAGCGGCGTGGGAGGGCCGGTTTCGGTGGCGATGCTGGAGATCGTTCTGCCGCTCTACTCGAAGAACACGATCCTGGGCGTGACCACGTCGTCGTCCGACATGTCGGTGAACCTGATCTCGGCCGTGGTGTTTCCCAGCAACATGGCATCGCTCACCACGTACGACGCCACCTCCGCGTACGGCACTGCCACTAAAGGTGCGTTCGGGGGTTTGTTGGGTTTTTTTTTTCAGTCTCTTTAAGGAAAGGAACAGATTGTCATGCTGACCGGTTGCGATGACGCTACAGCCTTTCAGGGGGGCTCTTGAAGTTGAGAGGTGCGAGGAATCAGGTTTACAGATTCCTGTCTGAAGCACCCTGATTTTGAAACACGGAACACAATGGTAGCACCATGTGACGTGGTGCGTGATGTTGTTGATGACTGACATGATTTGTACTGAACTGAGGTATCCTATGGTACGGCGTTTGTAACACATACGCTGCGCCACTGAACGATATTCGTTTGACCTAGTGGTCTAGGGGACGAGATGTTACATTGGTATCGTGAGCCCTAGGTTCGAGTCCCAGTGGTCACATTTTCCGCCCGACTAGAGTGGTCGTAGCGAGAACTCCAATGTGTCACCAGGGCGAACCCAGCGAACGATCCTGTCGCACTGGCCTGAAGCACCAGTGAGTTCACTGTTGCTTCCAGCGAACTGAGCGAGGTCCTTGCGTGCGAGGGCCGACTCCCCTAACCAACGAGGACGTTGGCACCAGGGGGGGGCGAGTGTAACGCATCCGCTGCGCCACTGAACAACACTCGTTTTACCTAGTCGTCAAGGGACGAAATGTTACAGGCGTCATGTTACTACATGCTGCGTGAGACGTACAGTGGCCGCGTGAGTTCCTCTCTGCTTAACAAACCAAAGGTTCTCCTTCAATTAATAACAATGTGTGTGCCCTATTTTTACGTGCGCTGTTCTCAGGTGTCTCTGCTCTCTTGAGCAACGGCATGGCCCTGCTTGCGGCTCTGATGGCGCTGCTTGTGCTCGTTTGAGTCGATTTCCGGGTGGGACAAGACTGAACGCTTCGACTGCAAATCTGACTGGGCGCAAGGCTTCCCTGCTACTGTGTCGAAGGTGCCTGCTTTTCGCGTGATAGCTCCCTAGTTTCCCGGAACTCTCCTGGGTAGGGAGGGAACCACCAGTCGTCTCTGGGGGCCGTTCGCTGGGAATTTTCCGAGGGGAACGGGGAGGGGAACGGGCGACCAAATCCCGCGCGCATGGAATCTGCGCAGCCAAACCTACGTAAAAATTTTTTTGTGTGCCCTCGTACTTTGGTAATCATAACGTCGCCGGCTCATAATGATTACGTCTGTCACGACTGCAGGACTGGATAAGACAAACTCGCGGACAGTGAAGAGTGGGGCCCACCAAAAGCCCTCTTAGGCCATCGCACTTTCGTGGAAAATCTAGCGGAGAAAATGAGATTCACACAATTTTGTCAAAACTGCCCATTTTTTTAACATTTCAAAATGTGACCGATTGGATGGGTATGAGCTGGCGCAATTGCGCAAATCGACTGGTAGGATTGAAGGGGAAGTGGCTGCGGTTTTTTTTTTTTTTTTTTTTTTTTTTTTTTTTTAGGGTTTCGTAAACCTGCGCTTAAGAGGCATGCCAATCTTGGCCTGCCTCATACCACGATTTTGCAGTATGAGGTGTGGCACGGAGTTTGCCTGGCAGCTCTGGGCGGCTGATGGCCGCGCTTCGGGTTTGGCATGAGAAGGAGCACGCGATTTGGGGGCAATTGGTTTGGGGAAACCGAACCGAAGCAACGTTTTCGCATGCTGACGTCACGTTTCGCAAATTGGGTTCGGTGAACCCACGAAGCCTCGATCTATGTTCCCCATGCCTGATTTCCCTCGCCGTGCCGGTGAAAAATTGGCCAGCGAACGGTCCCCTGATGCTGGTTTAGTGGTGAAACCGTTGGTCCTAGTACTCGTTTTTGTTTGTGTGAACAACCCTGCGGCATTTGGACACGAAGCCAAGTTCAGCGTCGCCACACTGTACCAGACGCGATATAAGTCTGAACACGCGAAAAAAATCCTGCGAAAGGCATGCCAGGGGCCAAAGAGTGGCGCGCAGCTGCGCGACCAACCCAGCCTTCCTGGACTCTCCCTCGCAGCCAGCAACAAATTTAATTTCGCCAGGCTTCACATTCTCGCCTGGCGAAACGGATTCGTTTTGGCGAATTGGCGTTACGATGCCAAATTGAACAAGCTCCCTCCGCTGCCTGAATTGTGTTGTGTGTACCCCTGCCTGAGCTCTACCCCTGGGGATTTGCCTACACGTGCACTGTATGCATTGTGCAACGTGCTTGGCTTGGCTTGCCCATTTGTGTGTTACATGCCGTGCTCAGTGGCACTTCTCTATCACGTCGCCCCCGCTCCCAGGCGAGACGAATCCGCGAAACCTGCTGCGACTGTGAGCGAAACTCCGTGGCGCCGGTAACCATTCGAAGCTGCAGCACGAAGGCCGCATCGCATGGAAATGCGAAGCGCGTTCTTGCAGGTTAGGAGATCGTAGCAGGAAACCGAGCGCCGACGACGACTCGAGGGACTGACCGCTCGTAGGCACCGCTTGAGGCTCTCTCCGCGGGCCGCGGAGCAAAGAGACTCGTCGCTTGGCCGAAAAGCCTACGAGTTTCTATTCTAGAGAGCGGAAAGCTGCCTCGTTTCGACTCAAGAGAGCGGAAGGCCGAAGGGCGACGACTCGTCTGCGTGGCCTTGCTTCGGAAGCTCGTTGAGCTCAGCCGCGCGGCACGGAAGCCATTCTCGTTCGCCCCGAGAGGGAGGGAGAGCGAGGGCGCGGAGGGGGAGCGAGGGAGAGCGAGGGAGAGAGGGGGGGAGGGGGGCGGGAGTCCCTCCCAGCGGCGGCCATGGCGTACGGCGACGACGACGAGGACTGCGCGGCGGGCGCGGGCGTGCCCATGGGGTCGTGGACCACCGGGTGCTGCGCGTGCGCGGAGGACTGTGGCGCAGGTGAGGTGTGCGGCGGAGTTGTGGGGATTCAGATGTGCATGGGCATGGGCATGGGCATGGGCATGGGCATGGGCACGGGCACGGGCATGGGCATGGGCATGGGCACGGGCACGGGCACGGGCACGGGCACGGGCACGGGCATGGGCATGGGCACGGGCGCGGGCATTGGCGCCCTGAGCATGGCCCGCAACCTGTTTTCCCCCATTGATCCCGCATCTGCATGTTTTCATCCACGATGGCCCATCCTCTGTCCATCCCCTTTCATTGTCTGCATACCTGTGCATACCTGTGCATACCTGTGCATACCTGTGCATACCAACAAACCTTCCTATGTCGCTCACGGGGCTGCAATGCTCTCCCATTTCTCTCATACCCCCATCCCCTCTTCCTCTCCTCTCCATTGTCTCCCCTGCGCTCCCCTCTGCCCGTGTGCGCCTGCGCCTGTCGCTCGCCATACGCACGCCAGCCGCGTGCGCCTGCGTCTGCACGTGTCCATGCGTTGGAGTGGGCCGCATCATCGTCCTCCCAATCCTCCCATTGCCACTCTCATCCTCTCTTCCTTTCCTTTCCACTGCCTGTGCACCCGTAACTTTCCCTGGCCATTCCCATGCCAGCCCTGTGTGCCTGTGTGTGTCCGTGCGTCGTGGTGGGGCGCATTGCTGAGCTCGTCACCGACGGCTACACCGGTGGGATTACCTACCCTCACCGATTTGCCGGCCCTTGCCTCCCTTTGCTGCCCCTTGCCTCCCCCTACCTCCCCGTGCCTCCCCCTACCTCCCCGTGCCTCCCCCTACCTCCCCGTGCCTCCCTTGCTTCTCGCTTCTTGGAGTTTGTTGCACGTCCTTCAACCCTCGCAGTCCAGCATTCCAAATCTCCATCAGTCCAACCCCACCAAGCACCCCACCAAGCACCCCACCAAGCACCCCACCAAGCACCCCACCAATCACCCCACCAAGCACCCCACCAAGCACCCCACCAAGCACCCCACCAAGCACCCCACCAAGCACCCCACCAAGCACCCCACCAATCACCCCACAAAGCACCCCACCAAGCATCCACCAGGCCATCTCCTGTCTCCCATCTCCCACGTCCAACCTCCCATCTTTGCATCACCCATCAGTCGCCTCGCACAGGACCCGCCACAACCCTTCTCTTCCTGCCCTTCTCCCCGCCACAACCCTTCTCTTCCTGCCCTCCCCGCCACCACCACCACCCACACCCCACTTCCTCCCCACCCCTCCCGCTCGTCTCCCACACGTGAATTCCCTTCTCCCTGCCTGCCTCCCACCACCTTGCACCCCCTCCCTTCCTCCCCATCCCTCCGCTCCACCCAGACGCGTGTGTGGCGGCGTGCGTCTTCTGCTGCTTGCAGCTCTGCTCCATGGGCGCTCTAGGCTGCTGCTACTCGCACTGTGAGGGGCGGCACACATGGGTTGGGAGGCATGGGATGCGAGGCATGGGATGGGAGGCATGGGATGGGAGGCATGGGATGGGAAGAATGGGCTTTATGGTATGGGAGGCATTGGAATCACGACATGGGAACGAGAGGGATGGTTTGGCAGGGATGACGGGTGCAGGGGCTGTGCGTACATGGGCCCTTTGAATGCTGCCCCCCTTTTACCTTTCACCGTCCTTCCTCCTGTATTTGTTGCCTCTGTCTCCTCCTCTTCTCCTTTCCCCATTCCCCCTCTCCCCCTGCTTTTCCCTCTTCCCCCAAAACCACCCCCCCACCCCGCCCCTCTTTGTGCACCCCACTGTTCCCCCACGCATCTGTGCCAAATACATGCTGCCGGCAGGGCAGTGTCTCAACTGCTTCGCCCCCTGGTACCCCCCACCCTACCCCCTCCTCCCTTTTTTTGACCCTCCCCATCCCCTCCTTGGCGCGCCCTCCCCAGTGTTCCGTGCGCGGCTGCGCCACAACTACATGCTGCCGGCAGAGCCGTGCCCCGACTGCTGCGTGCATGGGCTGTGCCTGTGCTGCGCCCTCGCACAGGAGCACCGCGAACTCACCAACAGAGGCTGGAACCCCCGGATAGGTGAGGGGGGAACCCCAGGATAGGTGAGGTGGATGTTTTTCAGAGTCGACGCAGAACATATGCGAGGGTGCAGCCCCGGAGGTGAGGGTGGAGCCCCCGGATAGGTGCTGGTGCGATGCAGGCTTCATGGGGGGTTGGGTGCTGCTATGGGATGGTGTGTTGATGAGTGGGTACTGCACGGTATCTCTTCTCTGTGTGGCCTTGGGTTCGCGCGTGTGGCCTTCTGAAGCGTCTAGCAACCAATTATGTTTTCCCCACCTCCCCAATCCCAACCCTCCTCCTCTCCTCACCCCCTTCCTCCCCCCCCCCCCCCCTGGTCTTTCCCCTCCCACCCTCTCTTCATCTACCCTCCTTGTTACCTTCCCTCACCACCACCTTCACCTCCGTTTCCCCCCCACTCTCTCTCTCTCTCTCCCCCCCTCTTCCTCTGTCCCTCCCACCCTCCACGCTGCCTCCCCTCACACCAGGTTTCCATGAAAACATGCGCATATTCCAGTCCAGAGGCCTGGCTCCTCCCCACCAGTGCATGCTGCGCTAGGGGTGGTGCTGGTGGTGCTGCTACTGCCCGGCACTTGCACGGAGCTTGGTGAAAAATAGAAAGAGAACTGGACCAAACACTGGCCGAACAAAACATTGGGTTTTACATACTTAGGGGATCCGGAGGGGATTCCCCTTACTGTGGGAGGATAGGGTTTGAATTGAAGGGTATTTTACCCTGATTACCCTTGCCAGCAGCCACTTTTTGGAGTATCCCCTGATTCTGTAAGGGTAAAAAAAGTGATTTGAGCCAAATTTGCCCCTAGCACCAGGGCCCAATATAAGACGAAATCAGTCTGATGGTCTGAAAAACAGACTCATTAGACCACCCGTTTTATCTCGTCCGAAAGGTCCCAGCCAGGCCCCCAGAAGTCAGGAAAATTTTCCTGATTCAGGAAAAAAACAGGGTGTTGAGGGGTACCAGATCTGATTTGCTAGGGTTTTGTTTGTGGCATATCCTGAAATTTCAGGGTTTTTTTGTAAGGGATATCTGTCAGGTCAGTTTTTTTTTGTAATGGATCCTGAAATTTCAGACTTGTATCGAGCATGGGTTCTGATTTTGTCAAAGGCGTGATTTGCGGGTCCCCCCCAGAATTACAGCGATATGCGCATATTCCCCCACAAAACTGGCCTGACTGCCAGGTTCCCGCCTGCAGACATCGTTTGCTGAGTCACATGTTGCCGCGCTGCCTCACGGCATTGGTCTTTCTCAAAGTGTCGGCCAGCACACAGTTTGGCTGCATTCGTGGATTGGTTGCCTTTGTAAATGCTGCCTGAATAGCCAATCACGTGTACGCCAGCGATGATGACCCAGCTTCAACACCACACTCCGGTTCGACGCCGACGCGCATGCACTGCGCTAGTTTCGGTCCAGATTCAGGAATACAGGAAGCCAACTGTGCATGGCTGGCAAAGTGTTCGCGCCTCGCCATCGTTCCCTTTCCCTCCCGTCTTCTTCATCTGTTTCTTCCCACGGTAGAAACAGCCACTGCGTTAGCCACTCCCAGCGTGACATTCCCCCCGCAGTGTCGTTGTTTTACAACCACTCCGTCGTGTGTCTCTGCTCGTCGACCACCCTAGTGAGCCTCGTCCACATGCCTGAGTCAGGCGATGTGGAATTGGACGACGATGGCGACGACAGCCGCAGTCACCGTGCCAAAGCCCCCACTGGGCTTGACATGCTCCTTTCGACGCTAGGTAGTTTTCCGAAGACTCCTCGTAACCCTCCAACGGAACAAAACCCCCTATGCGCCTCGCAGTCGGTCGCCTCAAGTTCTCAAGGTGTTGTTGAGCCGAATTCCGCGCCTATTCCAGGCCCATCCCTGGCTTATGCTTTTACCTGTAGTCCAGGTTCCGCCACCCCCGTGAAACCAGGCGGTCGATACCGGCAATCCATCCTGTGGAATTTCCCACGCGGTCAGCCGACGACGCCCCGCCCCTCAGCCATGTGCGAAGATGACGACAGCGATGGCGACGACACTACCGCTGCACCCGACAAGTTTCGATCGCCTGAGGATGTCTACGGCGAAGCCCTCAGCAGGTTTAATACGCGGTGGTCCGAGCGGTTTCCCTGGCTTATGATCGTTAAGACTGACGCTGGATTCCCAGCGTTTAAATGCAGTCTGTGCCTTGAGCATGCAGGACTCAGAGGGAAAGCCGGCAAACGCGGCGCAGGGCTGACGGACGTGCAATCGCAGGCATTCAACAGGCACGCGGGGTCGGCCAAGCATCGCCTAGCCGTGACAAAGCAGCAGGCGCTGCTGCAGGACGCAACCAGCCAGATGCGGATCGACCAGCTTCCTCAAGCCGCTGACCTGGAGAAGGAACGTGTGACTGCGCTGCTTGACGCGCTCTACTTCTGCTGCAAAGGCAACGAGTCGATGGAAAACTGGATCAGGCTCGTGCGCTACCTCAGCAAACGTCGGCATGAGCACTTCCCCGAGCAGACCTATGGTACGTACTACAACAGGTATTCTTGTGTGTTGTTTGATTTTGTTTTGCATGCATCTATCATGCATGACGAATGTTAATGTTTCAGCATACTAATTATATGTATGCTCTTGGCTACTGCAGTTATGGGTACGGGGAGTTCACACAGTCCATGGCAACCTGGCTGCAGACAACACAGTTGGAGCACCTTCTGAGGAGCCCGTTCATCGGCTTGAGCATCAATGAGAGCACAGACCGCTGCCGCGGCAAGCACCTCATCGTGTTTGCTCATTTCATCCGCGAGAACCAAGTCGTCTGCGAATACCTGGCCCTGCTGAGCGTCGACAAGGCCGACGCTGCCTCTCTGCTCGCTCTACTCCTGTCTCACATCAACGCCATCGGTGTCGACCTCCGGCGGGTCGTGGGCATAAGCAGCGATGGCGCTGCTGTTATGATGGGGTCGAAGGCTGGGCTTGTGACGTGGCTGCGGATGCAAATTCCGCACTTGGTGTCGTGTCACTGTATTGCGCATAGGAGAGCGTTGTTGTTTTCCGCTACTGTACCTCGGGTTAAGTGCACTGGTGGTTTCCGCATGTGCAATGTGTATTACCCCACTCCCAAGGACCAGCATGTACCACATTTTTTTCCGTTTTGTCCCACCCTCCAGAGAGGCACTGGCAGCTAAAGCAGCGGCGGAATCCTTGCCAGCGTTCAAGATGATTGACGATGTCATCAAGGAGCTCGCCGAGTACTTTGGACGATCCGGCCCATGGCACCAACGCTTCTTGGACCTGCAGGAAATCTTCACCTCGACGAACCTCGAACTTCAAGGCATTCATAACATCCGATGGCTCTCCCGCGATGAGGCTGTCATTAGGTTAGTCAAGGTTCTACCCACCATCGTCGTCATGCTCTCGGAGTGGACTGATACCCGGCTCTCCAAGATAGTGACAAGCTACCGCTTCTGGTTCCTTGTCATGTTCCTTGCTGACGTACTGGAGCAGCTAAACATTCTCAACAAGTCCTTCCACGAGCGTCAGGTGAGTTTTTCTTTACTGTGACAATGAGTCGTTATTAAACCACCCTGGTTCTGTATATATACACGTTCCCCTCCCTTCCTCCCCTCCCCCTCTTCCCCGCCCCAACCTCAGCTGGAGTACTCGGCCGTCCACGCGCAGATCATCCGCACAACAACCCTGCTGCAGAGCCGCTACGGGGACGCCGAAGACTTCGGCGGGGGACCGAAGGACCGTCTCACCATCTTCCTCACCCGTCACGGCCCGGGCGGTTCTCGCGAGGTCACAGCTGAGGGGGTCGACTCCGACGGTCGTCCGGCTTCCTTTACCTTCGTGCTGCATGAAGATCGCTTGCCCGGTTATCCGGGGGAGGGCGATCATGACGCGTGCCAGAGGCTATGTGTGGCCATGGCGACAGGCATGGTGTCGAACTTGAAGGAGCGGCTGGGTGATCTGGGGAAGCTCTCTGGCTGCCGCCTCTTCTCTGTCAACCTCTGGCCCCCTAACTGGGAGAGAGGTGCACGCAAGGCCCAGTGCCTTGACTGGTTCTTCTCCCTTGTTACTCTTTATCGTGCAGATGGGGGAGAGGAGATTCTTCCTGGCATTGACAAGCGTGCAGCCATGAGAGAGCTGCCTCATTTCTGCCCTGTCATTGCTGCTCTTCCCCAGGCCGACCGAAGCTTTCACGCTGGGCTCACGGCCATGCTGAAGACACCGGACTGGCAGGATTCTTACCCGAACCTGATGAAGCTGTGGATGGCGGTGGCAGTGCTTCCTCTCAGCACTGTGGAGTGCGAGCGCGGATTCTCTAAGCAGAATGTGATTAAGAGCTGGCTGCGTGGCAGCCTTAAAGATACTAGGCTTAGTGACCTCATGTGCATGTCACTGTTGGACTATGACCCGGACTAAGACGCTGTGGTGGAGATATGGCGCGCTTACAAGAAGCGTACCGTAATCCCCCGGCTATATGGTCTTCTTAGAATTACTGGAAAAGGTGTCAAGGTGGACATTTACGTGGATGGAAATTATTAGGACCCGTGTTCACATATTTTACACGTAAGTGTCTATTGTGCTGGATGTACAGCCTTTCTACATAGGGAGTTATATTTGTACCGCGGAAACAGAACCCTCTTGTACCACCAGAATGATACGCGTCAAATTTCGTGTGTTGGCGTGGCGCGATGGCATCTTGACTGCCCTCACCCATGCTGCTAGAGCGTGTTCCTGCGGCCTCTTCCCAGCCAACCTCTTCCCAGACTTGCTCGCTACAGTGTCGCGTATTTGTGACACGAAGCAGTTTAGTGCGGTTCCGAGTGGTGTTTTCGAGATTCAAGGTGCGTTTCCAAACCTGATTTCAGGCACGTATTTTCAGACGAGCGCAAATGTGTACAGTGCGAGTTTGACGCGAGCTGATTCATTGCGATTGAGAACGCGATTCGCAAACAAATTGGATTGAAGCAACGTTCCTTCGATCAGCTCTTAGTCGAGGGCCGACTCGGGGGAAGAGGAGGCTGGGAAGAGGCTCGTAAGAACAAGCAGCGCCAACCTGCTGCCAGCACCAACCGTACAGTAAAAGCATCAGCAGCAGTTTCTATTCTTACAGTGCAAAATCCTACAAGAAAACACAGCTGGGGGGTCCAAAAATGTTAAATGCCAAAAAGCGGGTCCTCACGGGGTCTGCCAAAATAAATGATCCCACCCCCGGGTAAAGGACCCATGGACTTTCTTACCGACGGGTCCATTATCCGGGGGATTACGGTAAGCCCTTCAACAGCACCCCTCAGGCCAAGCAAGAGGGCTCGAAGAAGGGGAAGGGAGTAGCAGAGGCAGAGTTGGGTGTAGGTAGTAGTGACAATGTGGACGATCTTGATCATTTCTAGTTAAGTTCTGTTGGGCTGAGAAAAAGCCCTTAGGATCTTTTGCAGAGACTAAGTCCCAGCTTGTAGAGACTTGAGACTTGGAGTAGTGCAGCGGAAGTTGAGGCAGTTGAACCCTTGTACTAGTATGTGAGAACAAGTGATTGATTAAAGAAACAAGCATACAGCAATATATAGAAGATAAGAAAGCAGTTGTAGAATACAGTTACAGGAACGGTTTATCGAGTCGCACAGCGACTCGATTGCCGCTTCGGTTACCATCCGTGATGTTGTAACGGTCAGTCGCAACCTCCAGTTGCGACCTTTCGAGTCCTTTCGCATTCTTTGTCCGCCCCCTCGTGTAACCTCCGTTGACTCGCGTGCTCCCCTGTAATCTTCCTCGAGTACAGTGTTACACTTCAGAAACGCTTAAGTCCTTGAGATATTTCCAACACTCCCCTTCGTTTCTGGAGTGCTGGAGTGTTCAGATCCGGTGACGTTTGTTTGCCCGGTTAGGAGCATGCAGTAGTCGAATTTTGCTTTCGCCAATTTCTTCGTCAGATAATCTGCGGCCATTTCTGTCGTCGGGCAGTAACTGAGTTGAAGTCTCCCCTTCGCGATTTCATCCTTGACGAAG